CTCTTCCCCCAGTTCTTTGATCACCTCGGACCTCTCCAGCACGTCTGACAGCACCGACCTCTGGTCTAATATCCTTGGCTCGGATTGGCGACGGTCTTCGTCAAGTTCTTCTAATTCCCTCACAGACTCCACCTCCCTCTTAAGCTCAGACAGCGATGACAGTATGCCGGACTTGCACCCGGCTGGATATCCCGATTCGGACGAGGACGAGGATGTCAGTTCTGACAGCACGTCTGACAGCGATACTTCCAGCTCATCGGGTGCTGATGGAGATGACGAGGAGGACTGGCTAGATGACACGATACAGAATGGCGAGGAACTTACAGACCGTCGCTCGAATAATCCCCTGAGATGGGTGCGACACAATCTCGAGGAAATGTACACCGAGCGTTACGAGATGCCACGCGACAACTTTCCCCATGTCCCCGGCCCTGCCTTCATCCGACATGTCCTCGACACGTTGAAGGACACCCGCTCAGACTTGTTCCGTCAGGAACTGCGTGTATCCCCGCTCACTTTCGACAAACTTGTCGCGAGGATTGCCGGAGATCCCGTCTTCGCAAACGACTCCCCGAATGCGCAGATGCCTGTCGAGGATCAGCTAGCCATCGTGTTATTTCGTTTTGGGCACTCAGGCAATGCAGCCGGCCTTCAGAAGGTCGCAAACTGGGCTGGCGTCGGGAAAGGGACCATCACAGTAGTGACGCGCCGTGTCATGACGGCTATCCTCCGTCCTGATTTCATGGCGGAGGCTGTTCGGATGCCAACAGCCGAGGAGAAAGAAAAGGCCAAGGCCTGGGTCGAGGCGCATTCGTGCAAGGCATGGCGTGACGGATGGTGTATGGTAGACGGTACACTGGTGGCTCTATTTGACAGACCATTTTGGTTTGGCGAGAGTTATTTTGATCGTAAATGCAATTATTCGCTCAATGTACAAGTGCGTTACTTCCACTTTTGCAAACATCATGGGTGCTCACTCTGACTGTCTTGCGGCTAGGTTGTATCCCTTCCAAATCTTCGTATCATAGACTTCGGTTATGGCTTTACCGGCAGTGCACACGACTCGACTGCGTGGGAGGGAACACGTCTTGCTCAAGAGCGCGAGACCTTACTCGAGGATGATGAATTTATTTGGGCCGACTCAGCGTACACTGTATGATTAATTATTTCACAATATCAGACATGTCCTCAGTATCAATGACAGCTCGAAAAGTGGATGATATCCCCGTTCAAGAAGCCGTTCAGTCTCCTCGAGGGAAACGAGGAGTTTAATAACCATGTTTCCATGGTCCGTATTCGCTCGGAACATGCTATTGGATTTTTTAAAGGCCGGTTCCAATCAATGAAGGGGCTACGCGTCAATATCAAGGACGAGAAGACACACAGATTTGCGACGTACTGGATCGCTGCCTGCATTGGCATTCATACTTTTGCAATGCAATGTGAAGAGCAGGAGCGGGGTGCAGACAGTGATGACGAAGCTGTAATGGCAGATCCCTTCATTAATGAAGGGCTTTCGTCGACCTCCGAATCTGAGGAAAACACTGGACTAGCACAGAATGGCACCCGAGTCCATGTGGGGAAAGCCAAACGGGAGGAGCTTAAACGGCGTCTATTCAAGGCGAAGGCGAGACGGAACCGACACCGTGAACGAAGGCAGCGACAGGAGCTCGGTATGAGTAGTGACAATGGGCAGGAATAGCCAGTAGAGTAACGTCAGTAGTGTGGGTAAATGTTATAGAAAAATGAGCGTAAGGTGGAAGCGAGTATAGCAAGTAACGACAGTAGCCAGTAGGTGGAGGGAATGTCAGGGAAGTCAGGGTATCTAATACGCAAGCGGAATTTATTTATGAGCCGTCACCAAAGGAGTTGGGAAGAGAATTGAAGTCGAAATTGCTGTAGTCTAGCTGCGAGGTCGAAGGGCCCGCCACCGCGTTCCCGGCGAAGCTGTCGAGGTCGGTGTAGTCGGGCTCCGAGGCTGCATAGCGAGATGAGTTTGACGAGGCATGAGAAGAGCGGGAACCGAAGAAGCTGGCAGCGTGGGAGGTGGATGACTGTAGGTCCGGTCTGGCCGCTTGCATGTGTCGCTCATGGCTTTGAATGAGCTTGAGCTCCTTGATACGAAGCTTCGCCAGCTCCTTCTCTCTCTTTCCCTTCTTCTCCTCCCTCTTCCTCTCCTCACGCTTTTCAAGATACCGCCCCCTTGACTCCGTAGCCTTCATCTGCTGGCGTGTGCGCAGGGTTGCCAAATCCAGCTCCTTCTGGCGTGTCCTCTCGTCCTCCTTTGCAATCTCCGCAAACTCAGCAACCTTCGTCCTCTTCGTGAGCTTCGGAGCAGCAGCAGGGGCAGGCACAGCGGGTTTCGACGTCCCCGGCTTGGCAAAGGTTTTACGGTGAGTCTTTCTGCCTTTTGATTTGGCTTTGGGCTCGTCCCCATCGTTGTTGTCGTCAGCCGTGTCCTGTGCGTGCTCTAGACCCATGTCATCGTCGCTATTGTTGTCCGGAGCGGGGATATGAGGTGCCGAGTCTGCGATGTCTGACGAGGGCCCATAGTCGTCTCCGCTGCCCGCAGCTGCGCCATCATCTTCCATGTCGTTGAAGGTGCGCTTGCGGGCCTCGGGCTCGGGTGTATGGCCAGGAGTGTGCTCCCAGTCGTCGTACGGGATGCTGGAGACGCTGTGATTGTCTGTGTCATCTTTCTCATCCTCGTTTGCAGACGTCTCCTCTGGTAAGATGACTCCGGATGCGACTGGGGTGCTGCTGTGCCCAAGACCGGTAGGAACAAGATTCGGCCGCTGGCCGATGAGTTCGCGCATCTCAAAGAACCAAGGACATTTCTTGGAGATCTCGGCTGCCGTGACGACGTGCATTAGTTCGCGCAGTGAATGTTTGGAGGACAGTACGTACCCCACTTTGTCGTAAATGTGTTTGTGGCATTCATATTGATCTGGGACGCACTCGTTATCCCTGCCCCGGTCTCCCCCATCTCCTTATTGTACTTCCGAGTGATCTTTGCCATCCTATGGAGACGGGTGAGCGATAGCTACAGCACACATAAGTAAGTCTCTTACGCGCCGAGTCTGTTTTTTATCTTGTTTGCAAAGAACCGCTTCTGTTTAGGAGTTGTACAAGCTGCAATGGCGTCCTTGAATTTGTCCATCTCTCCGAAGAGCAGCACAGCCAGCTCCCAAAGTGCGTGGGTCTTGGGTGTGCCTCCGCCGTTTTTGGTTGAAGCATTCGGGCCGCAGGGGGGGAACAGCGACCTCTTGATGTCCTTGTTCTCGCCAATGAGCGCGACAAGTGTGACACTGAGGTCGTTGTCTTTCCAGCTGCAAAAAATAGATGAGTACGTGATAAATTTGGTCTCGGAGTGCAGCCTACTCAACGTCGAGCGCAGTATTTTCCGGGGCCTCGACATCCCCGTCTTCGTCGTCATCTGCGCTGTCATCACTACTGTCGGAGTCCGCACTTTTTTTCTTTCGCATGGCCTTCAGCTTCTCGGTCGGGAACTTCTTACGGCCGGGCAGTTTGGAAGCAGGAGCTTTAGGGGCAGCTTTAGGGGCAGATTTAGGAGCAGGAGCATCGGCATTTTTCTTGCGACCCATCGGTACGAGCGGTGTGTTTTTAGAGGAGAAGAGTTTCAAAATATATTTATTTATATTTAATTTTATCTGATGACGGAGGATAACTTGGGATAACTGCTGGGGCCTAAGATGCGAGGTGATTCTCGAAGCGATTCAGAGGCGATTCAGATGCTGTTGCTCCTCCGGAGTAGCAACGACGATTCAGGTCGATTCACTTTTTTGATGGATTCTCGGTCGATTCTGATGTCCTGAATCGATGTCTGAATCGACATCTGAATCGACCTGTGAATCGCCTCCGGAAACTAACTTTGACTTCCCCTAATACAGACCGTTGAGAACGACGACCTCGTGTGTCGCATCGACGTAGAGGCTCTGTCCGAACGGAAACGTGATCAGATTGTCGTCCAGCGTCGCGTTGGTGGACGAGTTGTGCGTCGAGATGGGGGTATGCGTGAGCCGTGCCACGAGTTCTTGCACATACCCGATGCCCTGCGACCGCGCAAGCGGGAAGCCGAACCCCGCAACTCGTCCAATCCCCCGTCACGCTCGCGCCAGGGGAGCACCGAGCTCGCGCATGCTGCGGAGTCGTCGAGCTCCATGCCGTCTGCGAGTACGACGCAAGAACCCCGCCCGACCTCAGGTCTCCTCCCTTGCACCCCGGCGCCGCGCGCGGTCGCGGACCACGCACCGCACGTAAACGCGGTCCCCACCGACTCCCTTGACGCCGTGCACCCGAGGCCCCATGCCGTCCCCGCCTCGTCGATGTCGACGTCGATGGCGAGCACGCCCTCGCTAACAGGCGGGGAGAGCGGGTACGCCGCGTCTTCGGAGAGCGCGTTTACACCTCGGTCTGAACCTGCGTACACGCCACCCCCGGAGGAGAGGGAGGTGGATTCGCGGGCGTGGGCGCGCACCGGCGCTCAATTCGTCGCGGTTCGAGGACAACGTGCCCACTGGCGACTTTGAGGGTACTCCGAATCATAACATCCCGTCGCCGACGGGGGACTTCACGCCGCGCGTCGAACGACAGGGCAGCGCCGCGCTCAATTCGGGGAGGGTGGAGGATAACATTCCGGCGCCGACGGGCGACTTTACCCCAATCCAGGGCTCCGCCGCGTTAAATTCATCCACAGGATGTCGCGTGTGTACAACTTGAGTTCTTGCGTGTATCGTGTATCGCATGTGTACATGATGTGTAAAATAATATAATGTATATCCCCTGTATATAGTGTAATGTCAGTGGTATTTTCTGAGTATTTTCTTGGAACGCAATAGTACTAGTACGAGTGGACTTTCTTTGGAAGAAGAAATCTTCTTCCAAAGAATAAAGGCTTTCGATTCGGATTCCTAATCAAAACAGTCGAAAAAGGAATCCAGGTCCAGCCTTTCGAGCAAAAAGAAAACGGTCCCAAAATATTCGGACGCTGGAGGTCGAACCCAGGCCTCCCGCTTCAAAGAACGAAATGCAGCTAATATGTGCAGGCGTGCACCGTGCACCACGTCCGACTTATTTGTTTGTTTGGGAGTTGGACTAGTGGGTTGGATCTCAACATGATTTGTACAGTGCAATGCGAATCGTATTTCCTTGGAACACTACGAGTGTACTTTCTTTCTTCCAAAGTCTTTGTTCTCATTACAATCGAAAGAGGGATCCACGTCCCGCCTCAAAAAAAAAAACACAAACACAATGGACCTGGACTATTCGGACGCTGGCAGTCAAACCCAGAGCTCCCGCTACAACGAAAACCACAAGGGAAATTGTAGGCAGGTGTGCACCATGCACCACATCCGATTACCTACTGGCTTTGGGAGGTGGATCAGTAGTGTAGGTAAGTTTTCTAAAGGCTTCCGATTAAGATCCCGTCTCATTACAATCGGGCGAAAGTGCAATCCCGACCCGTCCTTTTTCTTTTCAAAAAAAAAAGATCCGGGGACCGGCAGTATTTAATTCGGACACTGGGAATCGAACCCAGTCCTCCGCCGCAAACCGTTGCAATCTTCTAAACTAGGGTGGGGGCGTGCGCCGTACACCACGTCCAATTTATTCGTTGGGTTTGGTGGTTGGATTGGTAGGTTGGATCTCAACATGAGCTAGCTGTGCGACCCGATCCGCAGTAAACACTCGAAGTGCATGCTTCCTCCGAGCCTTTGACTTGAATTCCGATTTAACAAGGGTTGGGGAATATTCGAATTCTTGGAAGAGAAAAAACGCCTACGTATTCGGACGCCGGGAGTCGAACCCAGAACTCCGGCCTCGAAGGTCGGCGGGTGGCTGGTACTCGAGTATGGCGAGCAGGTGTGCGCCGTGCACCACGTCCGAGTTATTCATTGGCTTCGGTAGTTGGACTGGTACTAGTCTGTGAGATTATTTGCCTGAAGATGAATTTGGCGCAGGAACGATATTGAAACTCGCACACGTTAGCTTACTCTCTTTAGGGGATATTAGCAATTCATGTATAGGATGTAAACTTGAAAAAAGAGTGAGGAGTGCCGTTGGGAGAAAGTCGGCAAGAACACAATTAATGTACAACGTGCAATTGCGCAAGAATTCGCATATTCGGATGCTGGGAGTCGACCCAGTCCTCTTGCTTCAAATTTGTCGTGTGTATGACCAGCGCTAGCGTGGGCGGGCACCACGACCGATTTATTTAGTGGCTTCGGTAGTTGGATTCGTGGGCGAGATTATTTGCCCGTGAGCATGAATTAGGACCTTGAAACGAAGTATACATCCCCTTGGACCTGGCCAGCTGGGATGCGCCAAAAAAAGGTCGGCAACGCTGGGAGTAGAATCCAGGAGTCAGGGCTCCCACTATAAACAATGAAGACGGAGAATTCTGGTCCATTGTATGGGGGTACGCACCACGTCCGGTTTATTTATTGAATTTGGGAGTTGGATCGGATTATTCTATATAAATAGGTGCAGGACCAGGGGAAGCTCGGGAAAAGGCGCCGCTGATCATTCGGACGCTGGGAGTCGAACCCAGAGCTCTTGCCTCGAAAGTCAACAGGTACCTGGTATGGCGAGCAGGTGTGCGCCGTGCACTGCGTCCGATGGATTCTGTGGCGTGAGTAATTAAATAGATCATATGGCAACATGAATTGCAATCGGCGCAGGAACGATTGAACATTATATGTACACCAGGCCAACTTATGTGAACAGTGAGCACTGACTTGGACTGCCCGACTGTCGGACATTCGAGTCCGTGAAGTAGCTCAGAGGCAAAGAGAACAAGAAGGGAGACAAGAAAAGGAAAATAATTTTAGAAAACGCAAGGCCCCTACTATTCGGGTCGGAGTCGAATCCAGTCCTCCCGCCACAATACGAACTTACAAGCAATTGTTATTGTATGGGGGCGTGCACCGTGCACCACATCCGATTTATTTAGTGGGCTTGGGAGATGGATTAATACTGTAGGTTAGTTTTCAACCCGAGTTCGTTAGGTGTGCGACCTAATTCAAGTTGGCAAAAAACACTCGGTGCCTGTGAGCTATGAAGTGCACATGCATCCTCCGAGCCTGTCTTTTGAATTGAATCCCGATTAATTAGGATGACAATGCCCGGGGCTGGGGGATATTCTTGGAAGAGATAGAATGGCCGGCAAGAAAAGGAAAGGAAAAAACAAGACTCCAACCCAGTCTGGTGGGCATGAGAAGTCTCGTATTTGTGTAATCTTTGACCAAAATTGATCGGACCCAGCACAATCATGGCTGAGAAAAGCTGCCACTCTTCAATCCACTTGCTTCTGCGTATTTGAAGCAAGTTGGGTATGTTCTAGGAGCATTTAGAGAGCTGAGCACAAATGTCTTGTCAAAAATAGGGGCTGACAGGTATTGCGTGGCAAATCACTGATCGCCGACCAAAAGTAGTGATCGGAGGCAAATATTCACATAGCTTACTATCGATCATCCACCTTTGCAAAAATCGATCCGGTGAGCTCAATTGAAGCTCAATTGCCTCGGGATAAAACAGGGAGATTATTTCAGTATCTAAACATGTACTGCAAAGTTTATAGAATGTTTGGGGCCTATTTGAGCCCTAATGAAAATCAAGAGTCGGATTTTGGGAATTTTGATGGCATCGATCGCGTACCAATCGCCTGCCAAAAGTTTTTGCAAAGGTGGGTAATTTGGGTTTTCTTCTCGGCATCTTCTAGGCTCCTTAAAAAGTCTGCAAATATTCAAGGGAGCTAATGACATGCAAGGCTCGCCTCAGTCCGAATTTCAGACCAATCCGAGCCCAGATGCCTCTGCCGCACCTCCATCAAAATTTTTTTTGCAAAGGTGGGTGATCGATAGTAGACACCACATTGCATGTGAGAAGAAGAAACGACGGCCGCCGCCTTCATGACTAAAAATCGGACCTGCGACGAAATACTGTATCACGCAGCCGCGACATCGGAGAACACGGCACCACGACTTCTCGTGAGACTCAAATAGTTAACAAATAGTTTTTCCGAAATGTGTGCACTAACGGTAAATTCACTTTTTCGTGCACTTTATTGGTCGTCAATAATCGTAGCGGCCCCGAATATCCGCGCAGTGCCTGCAGAATTGAATGCAGTGGCTCCATGCGATGTTGAAATCACTTCAGTCTTGGCCAGTATGCTACAAAAATCAATTGAATTTCGCACGCATGTCAAGAAGCTGCGAGTCACCGCCCGAGGATGCGGGAAACATTACTAACCAATCCACATAAAAGCTTCCGCAATCCATCAGGCCGTCGGCCTCTCCCAATGACTCCCGTCACTATTTGTGCCCTGCTCGCGATCCTTTACGTGGTACGGATCCTTCGACGTCGCTTATCCTCTACTTTGGACAACATACCTGGGCCTCCACCCACATCTTTTATTACCGGTGCGACACTTTACACGTTTAACTCATATCGTATTCACAACCCCCTTCGCCAGGGAATCTCACTGAATATCATGATGCCGATGGCTGGGAATTCCAGCAAAAGTTGGAACAGAATTATGGACGTGTTGTCAGATTCCAAGGACTTCTCGGTGTAAGGAAGTGGTGTTGTCTATCGCTGCACTCCTGAAGGTTTTTCAGGCTCGTGCGTTGTTCGTGTTCGATCCGGCCGCAACGCAGAGCATCCTCGTCAAGGATCAAAATATCTATGAAGAGGATAAAAATACGATTGCGTCCGTCATATTCACACCATTCACCGTAATCCTCCTGACTGCGTACCTCAGGATGAATTCGCTTGTGTTCGGCCCATGCATACTCTCCACTGAGGGCGACCACCACCGCAAATTCCGCAAAATCATGATCCCCGCATTCTCCACGGCGAATCTCCGAAGGATGGTTCCTACGTTCTACGAAGTCGTACAGAGGGTAAGAACTATTAGTTCCGCCTCGCCTATTACATCTCAATCTTCCGGCAGGCTCGAGATGGTCTTATTCAACCCTTCATTCGTGACGGCCCTCAGGAGGCAAGTGTCGCTCTGCGTTGGCACTGAGAACTAGGCTGATCATCCGCGTCGGAGTAGCTCGACCTCAACAACATTCTTTGTCGCACATCTTTGGAGCTGATCGGCCAAACGGGGATTGGTTACTCGTTTGATCCCATGCTCCCCGGGAAAGAGCGCACCGACCAATATGCGCGGGCCTTGAAGGGACTACTGTAAGTGTCAAGAAATTGATTCAGATAGTCTAATATATTTTGTATCCCTAGTCCCGCCATTTTTAAACTCGGGATATGGCTACCCCTCCTCCCTGCCATTGTCAAAATACCCTCCCGAGCCTTCCTACGCTTCATGATAAGTGTACTCCCGGTCCCAGCGCTGCGCGAAATCCGCGACCTCGTCGATTTTATGAGTGCTACTGCCTTGAACCTCGTCAAAGAGCGCAAGGAAGCGATCAGGAACGGTAAGCTAAAGGTCAAAGACGAGGCGAAGGACATAATAAGCCTCTTGAGTGTGTTATCTGACGCTCACCTCTCCTTCGCTGACATCTTTCATTTAGTGAAGAGCAATATGTCTAGTGAGGAGGCGTTGCGACTCACCGACGAAGAGCTCGTTGCTTCCACCTCGTAAGTACCGAACGCTACGGAATCCTGGTTGCTGATTTTGCGAACAGATTTATTATCTTCGCCGCAACAGACACAACCTCTTCTTCGTTGAACCGGCTCCTCCACATAATCGCACAGAATCCGGACATACAAGACAAACTTCGGGCGGAAATTCTCGGCCACCCGGAAACTATGAATCATGACACGATTGTGGGACTACCGTATCTCGACGCCGTGATCCGTGAAACAATGCGACTGTGAGTCTCCCGTCGTGTATGTGTCTCAACGTGATACCGGGGCAGATATCCGCCTGTTACCCCAGCGGTAATCCGCCAGTAAGTCTTGGTTCAGTTCTCCGTCGAATCTTCTAACAGAGACTCCAGACCCTTGGAAGACATCGTTCTGCCCCTGACGACACCGGTCACTGGGGTGGACGGTACAATCATGGACACGATCAAAGTTCCAAAAGGAACCCTGTGCTACATCGCTATTG